CCAACAAGCTTCGAAGGAGTCTGGAGAAAATGGATAATGGCGAATCATCGACCAATAATTCATCGCGTCCATGGGAATCATACAACACCGTCTTCACTAACGCTAAAGCCGGTTCGTTTCCAAATGTTATTCCCCATAGGATCTTTTTTATTACTCAGTGTATAGATTCTCTTCCCGATTCGTTTCTTCTTTAGTACAATCACTCTTATGTTTCTGTAAAATTGATCGATTCGTGGACTATAGGTTTTGTATTTGAATGTTCTTCGACCAATTTTGAAGATTTCAATTTTTGGAAATTGATAAGTTGTGTCTGTGTATATTCGTTAGGAATGGAAGGAGTTGATAAAGAGAAAGTCCAGAGGATTGTCTATGAATTGAGTAAAGGATCCAAATATTTTCAAAACGAGGAACGTAAAGAAACTCTTATGAAACAAAAGATTGAACATATGCATGATAGATCTGCAAAGCTATCTTCCTCTGATTTATCTAATTATCAGAAGGTGGTTGATAGAAGGATCTTAGAGTTAGAAGCAACGCGTGACCTATCAAGGATTTGGCTGCATGTTGATATGGATGCTTTTTATGCTGCTGTTGAAACTTTGAGTAATCCGTCCCTCGGGGGAAAACCGATGGCTGTTGGAGGCTTGTCTATGATCTCCACGGCTAATTATGAGGTATGCTTTGGTTTTCCATCTGGTGAACTTACGGTTACAACTTTGTACTTATTGTTTAAAGTTTTGTACTATTCTCTCTTAGGCGAGGAAGTTTGGTGTCCGTGCAGCTATGCCTGGTTTCATTGCTCGTAAATTATGTCCAGATTTGATATTTGTTCCTGTAGATTTCACTAAGTATACTCACTACAGTGAGTTAGCAAGAAAGGGTTAGTTTAGTTGTTCCTTTTTCGACATGTGTAGCTTTATCCTTGCTGTTTTCGTTTCTCTGCTCTTACTTGCATATATGTGTTTTCATTTAGTTTTTAGGAACTATGATCCTCAATTCATCGCTGGGAGCTTGGATGAAGCCTACCTTGACATAACTGAGGTTTGTCGAGAACGAGGTCTTTCAGGTGGAGAAGTAAGTGTGAGCTCATGAGATGCATTCTTTTGTGATGGTTGTATCTTCTTTGAGAGAATTTTTGGCTGACACTGCAACTGTACCCTGTTGATTTCTTTACTTTGTGCAGATTGCAGAGGAGCTTAGATCTTCTGTTTATTCCGAGACTGGACTGACATGCAGTGCTGGAGTAGCGGCAAACCGCTTGCTAGCCAAGGTTCTCTTTATATGCGCATAACCTTCTATACTTATTCTTTTCATTTCCGTGTTACATGTGCCAGTGTGGTATATATTACTCTGTTACAAAAAAAAATGTTTTCTTAATCTATCCCTGCCATATTTCAGGTTTGCTCAGACATAAACAAGCCTAATGGACAGTTTATTCTACAAAATGACCGATCAACTGTCATGACATTCATATCTTCCCTTCCTATAAGAAAGGTATGTGATCCCGAATTGTTGCTTTGGCTGTCATTTCTTCCGGGGGCATTTTTATTTTTCTGAAAGGTCTATGAAGAGAAATTATCACTCCAATTATTCCCTAGCTCATAGTTTTCTGCGTAGAAGTGAAGTTGATGTTACATTTACGTGGGCAAGAGTAGATATTCAATAGAAACTTAGAACACTGGCAGTAGTAGAGATGCCATGCAGAACTTAGTTTCTGTTTGGCACAGAACTTTCAAACCCTCGCATTGTTTGTGACGGCTGGAGGTTGGTTCTTTATGAGTTGTCAAAAATAAAGTCGATTATGGTTTGAGAATCTGGGCTGGGAAATGATGCTGTGTTTCTATACTACTCATGAAATTAATGCAAGTTTGAAACTGGTCAACAGATTGGGGGAATTGGTAAGGTTACTGAACATATTCTGAAGGATGCTTTGGGAATTAAAACATGCGAGGATATGGTGCAGAAGGGATCTCTTCTCTACGCTCTCTTTTCTCAATCTTCAGCAGGTAGCAGCACCTCCTGTTTTTTTTTTTTTGCTGTTCCTTTCCAGGGAAGGATTTGTTTGTTTGTCGACATTACTTGTTAAGTCATGTCTCACATGAAAGATTCATTTTTTTGTAGACTTTTTTCTCTCTGTTGGACTGGGGCTTGGGGAAACAGACACCCCTCAGGCTAGGTCTCGTAAAAGTATTAGCTGTGAGAGGACATTTTCAGCGACAGAAGATGAAAAGTTGCTATATTCGAAGTTGGGTGAGTAGTTTTTCCTTTTTCTCATAAGACCTATAACTCAAAATCAAAGGCACATTGCATCTAGAGAAATTTAACTCAGTTAGGGATTGTATTATAAGTTTATAACAAGACTGGTTATGATTATAGTGTTTTTTCCTTGGGTGTAGTGAGCAATCATACATCAACCTATTTGCCTCAGGTTACATTTCAAACTTTTAGATTAAGAAAATCTATATTTGACTTTGCTTGTTGTTCTTGGCAGCTGAAATTGCTGAAATGCTATCTGATGACATGAAGAAGGAGGGTCTAATAGCAAGAACATTGACACTTAAACTGAAAACTGCCACTTTTGAGGTACCTTTCCAAATTTTATTTTCGTTCTCTTCTTTGGAAATCATCTTTGTGCTGGAAGTGTGAATATCTGGCCATCCTCAGATTAGGAGCAGAGCTGTGAGCCTGAAGAGGTACACATGTTCAAGCGAGGATATACTAAAGCATGCTACAAAGCTGTTGAAGGCAGAACTTCCTGTTTCTGTAAGGCTGATAGGTGTGGCTCTATAGCGTTCGTAATTCTTCTCTCTTTAGAAACATACGATAAAATGTACTGGCTCATCTACTTAAATCCATATGTGCAGGGTTGCGCATGTCTCAATTCAGTGATGAAATCCGCCATTCTGATCCTTCACAGGAAACTATCACCAAGTTCATCGTTCAAAAGGATTTCTCGAGGCAAAATCTGGATGATAACAAGATAGATGCTAGTAAAAATTGCTTAAGTAATGACGAGAGCATGAGTTTATCCTTTGATACACATGAGACAAGCTATGATCAACTGAAAGATGTTCTCGAAAATGAAGAACAATCCCAACTAGATGCCAACAAAGTACCTCCAAATCAAGAATGTACGAGAAAAGAAGAAAGGCCACAGGTATTGGAAGGAGATGCTCTGCTCATAAAACACAAGGAGTATAAACCAGATACGAGTCACTCAATGAATGACAATTCTAGTGCGCAAAACTCTGAACCAGTTACATTATTTCTGCCAATAGAGCCGTTATTTTGGATTGATGGCTACAAATGCAACTTGTGTGGAATCGAGCTACCTCCATCCTTTGTCGAAGAACGACAAGAACACTCTGATTTCCACCTCGCTCAGCGACTTCAAAACGAAGAATCTGGCTCAAGTTCTTCCACTACACCTACTTCAAAACGAAGGTGAGCTCACAGTAAACAACCTCTTAAACCTTTCTATATTCTCACAAGTCTCTGCTTCTGACTGAAACTTCATATCTGTTTAGGATTCTGGGAAAGGAAAAGGCAAATTCGAAACCAAAGAAGCAGAAACAATCTGAAAAGGACGGTACCAAACAAATTCCAATACACACATTCTTCACAAAGACCAATCAAAACTCGTAAGCCTTGTTCATGTCACAGTTTTGTAAAGATGTGATTCTCTGGGTAGGTTAGATGCCACGTGTCATCTGGTGTTATATTATCCACATACTATCTCTTTTCAGGAACGAACCCCAGAAGAAATGAAGATGGCTCTGAATCTGATCCCACCGAAACTCAATCTCTCACCGTCCAATTCCCTCGGCGAACCCAAATCCTTACCGTCGATGTCCGACATCCTGACGTCATCAAGAGCTCGAAACCTTGACTTAAAGATTCAGACTTTAGGACCGTTTTTCAGAGTGACGGGTAAGAACGCAGACACAGGCGGTGAAATCGGAAGAGCAGAGGGAGTGGTTCGGCCATGGTTCGGACAGGGATTGGTTCTGCATTTGGATACGATAAGATTGACGAAAGAGACGATGAAAATGGATAAGTCTGTACTTGGAGTTGGTTTATACGTCGGAGCTGTAGCGATTCGACATGGCTACGACTGTGGTTGCCGCACTGCTCAGCTTTTAGCTATCTATGACTCCGATCTCTACCATTCCAAGGTACACACACTCTCCTCTCTATTGCAATCGAAATTGAAATTGAGAATTTGGTTTGGTTATATACTAAACCGGACCGAATTAAAAGGTTCACAATTAATTTTTGTTATTGTTATTACAGGTTTATAGAAAACCGAGACCAAATACAACCATTTAAAAGTACTTTTTATGTTCGAATTTGGTTTATTCAGTTCAGTTTGATTTGGTTAGCTTGTAACCAATTCCGGTTCTGCTTTAGTTTTGATTTTTGGTTTTTACAATAATGACAAACGTATTTCGGTTTGGTCTTAAAATGATTTTTATTAAAATGATTATTGGGTTTTAGTTTTGGAGTAATTACAAAAAGCACTGTCCTTTGTACGATCGGACCAACCCAAATTCATTTGGTTTTGACATGTACCAGCTGATTGTGAACCAAACCGAATTTTCATGTGTCAGCTGGTTAGGTTTTATAGAAGGATTGGGTTCGAAGAGGTGAAAGAAGTGAGTGGTTCGTTGATCGGAGACATGGCTGATATGTTAGTGTGGGGTGGAGTTGGCACTCGCATGGATGCTAATATTCATCATCTCCTTCTTAAATGGTCTAAAGTTTTCCTCAAATCAAATGTTTAATTTACATGTATATATAATATTATGTGTCTCATATTCATCGAAACCAATTATCACACCATAAGATTTTTTACATTTATCTTCTGTCATTTTCATGAACAAAAGCACGTAAAACAAAAACGAAATTCGCAATCTCTTTGTTTCATTAAAGTTTAATGGGCAATATAAATTATAAAGGCCCAATAAACATAATCACAAGAGAGAAATTTCATCAAATGAAAAGTGCTAACTCCAAATAAAAATTTAAACCCTAAACTTTCTGGGAGAGGTACTTAAACTCAAGGTTTCCAACGTTTCCCTCAAATCAATTTCTTAATTACCTGTAAATGTGATTTCATGTTCATCTAAAACGAATCAGTCCATACGATTTCTAACAATGACCCATATTTATATAGACCTTATATTAATTTCAAGAAACTCTATAACCAAACAAGAACAAAAAGTACCAAAAGAATTAGATCCTCAAAACACCAAGAAGAATTCATGAAATGCTTCGTTTGCGAGGATTATCAGCGATTTTCATGATTTTATATATCGATGGTTTCTTTGGTTTTCTCATGACGAGTCTCGATCTTGAAAGCTTGTTTATCTATTTGTATTGTTCCATCTTCTTTCCAAAATTTTGCATTTTGTTATTTTTTTTTTGTCACGCATTTTGTTACATTTGATTGTGAATTTTTTTTTTGTTTTTGGCAAGAAAGTTTTAATATTCCAAAAAAAAAGGGAATTTTTTTTTTTCGCAATCACTTTGTTTTAATCTCCAATTACATGTTAATTAACTGATCTCACAGTGTAAGGAAGCAAATATAAATTCAATCAAGCTTTAATGGCACTATTGTGATTTGGAGGCAATATATATTGTGGTTTGGAAGTCTAGAGTGTTGAGCATATAGATGTGATGCCTCATTACATACTTTGCTTTGAGCTTGCTAGGAGTGGTTGAAACCATTGAAGAATGGTCACTGCTAGAGGGAATCAAATTCAGGTTTGCTATTCACTAAGTAAGACCATTGTTGGTTTTATGATCACAATTGGATGTGGTTAAGGCCTTAAGGGCTAGTTTAAGATCATTAATGTGCTAGCTAGTTTATTCATGATCTCGGTTAGGGAATGTTACGGTTTACAATAGACTGGTTTAGAGGTGTTAAGTATGTAAGAAACGTTTAGTCTTGTTCGACTTTTGTTATATTGTCGAATCTCGGGGTTGGATCAGATGCATGGATAATAATCATTTCTTTTCTTTTTCTTTTTACTCCATCACCATTTCCTAGTTCGCTCGTGCACATCTCCGACGATCCCAATTCTAAAATTATCACTTCTTTCAATCTTTTCAACATCTCTTCCAAAAAAAAAATCCAATCGAAAAAGGGAACATAAACAAGATCGAACCCTTCTTTCTTTTTGCACCAAAAAAACATAAAAAATCATCACTTTTTGTTTGTTTCACCGATGGCATCTTCCGGTGACGGTATAGCGGTAGGAACAGGTTCACCATGTGGTGCATGCAAGTTCTTGAGGACCAACTGTGCATCAGATTGTATATTTGCACCGTACTTCTCACCGGAGCAAGGAACAGCAAGATTCGCAGCTATTCACAAGGTGTTTGGAGCAAGCAACGTCTCTAAGCTCTTGCTTAATATGTTCCAATCCATGATCGATGTGAAGCTATTGCCACCATCGCCTACGAAGCTCAAGCGCGTCTTCATGACCTTGTTTATGGTTGTGTCTCTCATATCTTTGCCCTCCAACAAGAGGTAAATTAACCGAGCAATCGCTATATAGGAATTCATCGATATTTAGTCAGTGTGAAATTTATATGGTGGTTGAGTGATATGAGATTTAGTGCATGAAACTAAATTTTCTTAGATTTCCCAAGAAAATCTTGAGGAATTAATATCAACTAATTTTCCCATCAAAAAGTTTGTTTTTGCTATATATTAGGGTTTTTTTTTTTAATACTAAGTTTCATAACCATTTGAAATTTTATTTATATTTTTTACCAAACGTTACAAGAAAAGTTTTTCATTAAATTCTTGTCATGACATTTCCCTTTCTTGCGTTTGTCATTTTCGACTCGCCATAATCTAGAGTAAACGATACTACTTTTTCCGTTTCATAAAAATGTCATCCAAAATCTAGAGTAAACGACATTATTCTTTATGTTTCATAAAAATGAATATTCATATCTCTTATGATTCATTTACTATCCTCGGAAAATATACCACTACTAATATGTAAATTACATTTGAATATGTTTATCAATATACCGTGTAATTTTGCAATATCTTATTGGCACAAAACATCAATTTAAATGAAAATAATCGACGATACATCGTCTTAAAAACGGTAATGAGTTTTCAACTTTTGAATAGAATTGAATCAATCTTGTTTAACTTAGCGTTTGATAAGTTAATATATAGGTGGCTTACTTGCAAGCACAAGTCATTCAAATGAAGGCAGAGATCGCCGACCACCAGACGTCATCCGCCCGAGATCTAAGTTTATAATACTAATCTTATGTGTACAAATTTTGTTTCTAAAGAAGAAAATAACATAATATCAAGAAATCTCTATCTCCATCTTTTATTTTGTTTAACAAAAAGAAAGGAACAGCTTTAAGCGACCGCTTTGCTCGCTTGTGTTAAACACCGGTTATGTCGATGGCATTGAAGCCAACGTTGCTTTTTACAAAGATGACACATTGACAAAACAAAAAACAAAAGCAAAAAACAGAAAACTGGCTCTTGTAATGAAAATGAAAGAAGGAGCATTACCCTGAAATGGTGTCCGAGGCATCTTTAACGGTAAAAGTCTGTCTCCCTCCTTATGATGCACAGATATCTCCAACATATTCATTGTCACTCTCGTGGCACCAATGATCAACACTTATCCATTTTGTAAATTTGAAAAAAACTCCCAAAAAAACTTTTATTTTTGTACTTTAATTTGAACAGTTTTTTCTTATTATAAAGTTGTAATAATTTGTTTCTAAGGAATACGTAAGTATATAAGCAAACACAAATAAAATATAAGCAAACAAAAATGCAACAACTCATAATTTGGTTCAATTAATCATAAATAAAATTAAATTCGAAAGTCATGACATCATTGCATAAATTTAGGTTTACAACAAGAAAATGAAGATGCAAATTGGTATCGATCTTCATTTTCTTTTCTAATTAATAAACTTATGTATGCATCATTGCTATTTTCTGCGGTTTGGCTGTAGTTGATTATCTCCATGCCGTTGGTTTGGACTTTCTTCCCTCCTCTGTTCATTGTTGACCTCTCTGTTTCATAATCATAATTGTGATTCGATTATGCCAGTTTGTGGTATGTGTTTTGGTTAACACCAACTGGTTGAATTGTTTTTCGCTTGGTTTAATATGACACATGTCATTTTTAATTTAAATTCCGCACGTCAACAAAATAAGGCAACGATTTGCTAGGTCTGTTGATGGAATATCTAATACACACCTAGCTGCAAACAGCTCCCTATCCGTCGTAATCCCTCGATTTCATTATCTTATCTCTAAGCAATTACTAAAGCTTATCAGAGTGACCATATATAATTTGAGATAAGTCAGAAAGCAAAAGTATTCATTTTGTGTATACTCGAGCAATGAATAATGATTTCGAGAATGTGAAAGCATAGCAACTCAACACAAGTTTGAAGACAGAGAATTGCATAACGAATGTATTGCATATATCAATAGTCTGTTGGTATCTTTTTTAGAGAGCTTAATGAGATGAGAAGAGGTATAGGCTCTCTTAGCAACCAAACATAACTTTGGCTTGGAAATAGAAAACCCTAAAGGTGTTAAAGCAAAGTTAGGGGGAAAAAGTTTGAAGATCTTAAGAGTGTCATGGATGTTTAATTCTATTAACGGGGAAAATAACAGGAAATCTTTTTCCAAACATTTACTAATTTATGAAAGGGTCATTAAGGATGATTAATTCAAAATAATTTGAGATAATTTTCATTATTTTTTTTAAAATGGTAATTTCCAAAACGGGTTATTTTTTTTTATTTTATTTTTGTCATCAGAATAATAAACTAATTTACCACCGTTCAGTTACCCAAAGTGGTGATGACGAGTTTAATAAAAAAAAATTAGAAATCGCTAGACATGCACCATTTGCAAGT